TAGGCCAGGCTAACTTGACTCTCGCGTGGATCTGGGGATTCAACTGCCACATCGCCAGCCACTCGTGAACAACTCGTTTGCGCAATTCCAGACCTGGCTCCTTGTCCCACATCTCGATTGCAAGTGTTGTCGTCAGACACTTGCCTCCTTGAGAGCCAGCTGCGATCTGACCCGCCTGTTTCTAAGTTTCATCAGCTCCGTCGTGGAAAGGCCGAACGCTTGATGTCCGTATGTGGCCTGGGGCATGGCGCCCGTAGACCAGAGTCCTTTCGCCTCTTTTGCCAAAGTAGTGCTTTTCCTCAGCCTCTTGATCTTGCCGAACCGTCTCTTGGCTGCGAGGATTCGTCTCTTGAGTGTGCGTACAACTCGTTTGCGCCCAGCTGCAGCATCGAGGCCCAGGTCCTTCGCGAACGTTTTGGCCTTGGCGGGGGTGCCGTTCTGCTGCAACCTCTTCGCCGCACTCTTGACCGTGTCCCTGCTCGAGCCGATGATGACTGTCTTGTCTGAGATATTGAGCCTCTGTTGACGAAGTCCTTGGGCGAGCTCGCAAGCCACTCTGACCAGCTTATCTGGGGTGTCCTGTGCCGTGCCTTCCTCTCGAGCCACAGTGTCGTCGACGAATGTCCAGAGACCCGCCGTCGGTGATATGATGTGCGCTCGCTGTAGGATTGGGTGGAGAAAAACCTTCGCAAGGCTGACTCCCCTGGGCGACCCCGCAACTATTGATCTGGATACCCATATCGCCTCACTCAGCGCCGACTTGTCTTTGAGAAACCGCGCCGCCGCGAAGATGAGTACTTCCATTTCCACTACAACTGCTGGATAGCCGATGCCCCTCGCAATGCGCATCAGCAGTACCAGGCTGACGCTGTCGTAGAACTTCTCGATGTCCCCCAGCAGGGCGAGGCTGGAGATGCCCAGCTCGCACCCCGCCTGGTCCAGGCAGGCACGGAGCAGTCCAACCCGCAACGCCGAGCTGCCTTTGAGGGCCGTGTCCCAGTGCGCGCTCAGAGCCTCGCTCCATTCGCTGCAAGGTGACGCCCTCGTCCTACTCCAAAGTTTAACTGGTAGGGGTAGCATCCCCAACGCTCTCTCTCCGCCTGCTGGTTTGGGGACCACGGCCCCGAGTGTAGCCGTCCACTGCCTCGGCCACGTGCCCGTCTGCTCGCGCATGTTGATGAGGTCGACCAGCTTCTGGCGTGCACCCTGCGGGGCCCTCTTGATGTCGTGCAACTTGAGACCATCCACGCCGCCTGCTTTGTTGGGGTTCGTGGCCTGCATGGCCGTGTCAAACTCCTCTATTGTGATGGGGTCCAAATCTTCATCTCTGGCCTGTCTGTGCATGACCTGCAGCTCAGACGCGATGTCCTCTCTGGTGTCCACTGCGTCCGTCCAGATCTTTAGCCATCTCTCTCTCTCTCTCTCTCTCTCTCTCTCTCTCTCTCTCTCTCTCTCTCTCTCTTCGTGTGCATGAGAATCTCTGGGTCCGCCGAACTTGCGTCCTGGTGATACTGCTCGTAGGTCGGCTGCACTGGATATTTGACGTGCTTGTGAAGGATGCCTGGCTTCTCCGACCACATCTTCTTTGCCCACTTGGCGAACTGCTGCCGCTGTGTGGAGATGCCCCTGGAGACCGCAATTGCCATGTGATTTTCGATCTCATCCTTGAACATCTCAAGCTCGTCCAGCGTGTGTGTCTTGACCTCCTGCACACGTAACATGCGCTCGTCTGCTTCATCATGCTCAATTTTTTTCCAAAGATCTGATCCGAACCCATCCTTCTGAGCTGCTGGTAGGTCGTGGACAACTCCTTCTCGCACTTCCTCTGTTGCATGTCGTCCGTGCCGTTGAGCCGTAGTGACGCATATCTGGCAACCAAGACTCCCATTATCGACCACAACTCTGCTGCTTGATACTTCATATGCGTACGACCTGATGTGGCTTTCGATCTTTGCCATCTGATTGCAAAACCACCTCCTCTGCCTCGGTGTGCATCAGCCTGCTCGGCGTCCATCTTGTCTACTCCGATGATCGCCTCCTCCAGAGTGGTGACACAGACCGCATACTCGCCTGTGATCGCCTGCTCCATCAGCTTCTGATGCTCACCTCGGATGAGAAGGTTGGCCTCCAACTCGCGCATCTGCTTGGACAACGCTGGGCCGATGGCGATGCGACAGGCCTGCTCCCACCGGTCATCGTCTATCGCGTACTGCACCATCTGCTGCATGTTGGTCTGCGGGGGCTCGAGCCAGTTGAACTCCTCGCGCAAGTCTTCGGGGAGTTCTGCCAGTCTCTTCTGTTGTGCTGCCTCCTTCTTCTTACTGCGCTTGCTCTCTGGGTCGGGGGCCTTCTTCGGTGGGAGCACCAGAGGCAACGGCTTGTGGAGATCCAAATGCCTGTGCCACCAAGCCTCCGAGCGCCCTGCTAATTTGAGCAGGAGCCCCGTGCGTGTCCTCCAAGGTACTTTCTCGTGTCCGTCGATGGAGATGCCATCTGCTATACCTTCTCGTGCCATGGCGAAATCTATGAGACTGCCCTTGCCCTTGTCGCAGGTGACCTGGATCTTCGGAACGATCGCCTTGCCTCCCAGGCGCGCGGGGAGGCCTGACTTCTCGACCAGGGATGGGGGCATATTCCAATCTGCCATGATAATCCAAGGATCTGCGATGCTCCCTATGACCGTCGAGAGCGCCTTGATCTTTTCAAAGTTGCTGCCCTGCATTCCCTCCTTGGGAAGCAGGTAGAGGGAGCAGAGAACGACATTGCCTCCGCTGAGGTGGATAGTCATGGTCGTGAACCCTCTGAATGGGTCCTGCCGTCCTTGCGCCTTGAGGGTCTCCTTCATCACGTCGAACGTTGTGGTCGCCAAGTGCGCCTTGGCGATGAGCAGCTCGCCTCCGCCGTTGCCCTCCTTCGAGCGTCGCGTCGGGGTAGCTGCCGTGACTGCTGCTTTCCATCCGTCTTTGCTCAGGTCTTTCTTCAGCTTCGTGACGCCTGACTGCGGCACGTGGGACTCCGTGAAGGCGAATATCTGAGCAAGTTCCTGGCTCTCGTTGAGGAGCTTCTGAGGTTTCTCGCCCCATTGTGATATTGCTGAAGAATATGCTGGTGACCTTCGCTGGCTTGGCTGTCTCGCATGTCTGAGTGCGAGCTCCCTCACGCTGGCTGCGACGCCAGTTCTGACAAGCTGCGTCCGCATCAGGCGCGGACGAGGAGGTCCGATCCCCAAGACAGGAGGGCGAAGTCCCAGGGAGACCAGGGATGGCTGGCCACTCGGGGGACGGCGGTGCTGGATGCCTGTCCAGCGCTGCAGGCGGCTGCCATGGCGGGCTAAATACCAGCCCGACCAGAAGAAATGCCCGTAGCGCCGCTCGTAGCTGCCGAACCCACCGATGGTGAAGTGGTGGCCGCCCTCTGAGATGCGGCCCTGGCTCGCTCCTTGTTCTCCCCGATGAGCTTGGCGATCGCCTCTGCCTTCCGCTTTTCTGTTTCTGGATCGCTGGCTTGTTGTTGCTGTGGTGGTGCCTCGGGCATGGCGTCTTGAGCGGGTGGTGGAACTTGCGCGTGTGCTTGACCGTCCTCGTTGATCCTGCGCTTCTTTGCCGCATGATCGGCCTTGATCTTCTTCGCGCTCTCGACCATGGTGAGCAGGGACTCCTGCTGTGTCTTGGCGCGATCCAACAGCTCCTGCAAGGCCTTCGCGTCCGCCCTGAACTTCGCGAGCTGGTCCTTTTGAGACTGCTCCAGGTCCTCCTCGTCCGCGAAGAGGCTCTCGTCCACCTGAAAGCCCGACTGCTCGGGCTTGGTCGCCGTGCCCTCCGCCACCGAGTGCATGTTGTATTCTTCCAGCGCCTTCGAGTGCTCCTGCTGTGCCTCGTAGACCTCCGCCGCGGCCTGCGCCATCTGCTCCGCGAGCTTGGCCAGCGCCTTCTCAGCGTCCAGGTGACGCTTGGTGACGCCTTCGAGCTTAGCCTTGGCGGAATTGACCTTGCCAATTGCCTGCTTGAGTGCCGCGGACTTGGGTAGCTCCTTCTTGGGCGGGGCGCACTTCTGGGAGATGGTAGTCTGCAGGTGCTCCAGCTGCTCCTGCATGCTCTGGTCGGGCCCAAGCTTGGAGACAGCGTGGGCCAGCTGCCTGCACACCACTTCTGCGTAGGTGCCCTTGGTAGGTTGGTCTCCCCATGGTGGCTTGCGCGACGCCAAGGTAGTGTCCGCCCAGAGTGTGACGAACGAGTCGCACTTGGCGCAGTAGTTGCGCTTGATCTTCCAGTCGTACGCCCAATTGTTGCAGCTCTTGGACGGCGGCCCCATCGCACTCGCGTAGCGCCTGCTGCCGTCTGGGAGTGGGTCGTGTCGCTCCGCCAGGAGCTCACAGGATTATTGAAAGCTGTCGGGCGAAGACGCCCTGGCACTGGCCGCGGACTAGCGGTATCCACGTGTTCCCCTGTGGAACAAAGCATCTTGAGCCAAAATGGCTACGGAGGAGGAGGAGGAGGAGGAGGAGGAAAAGTGGGAGGAGGGGGAGGAGGAGAAGGAGAAGGAGGAGAGGAGGAGGAGGAGGAGGAGGAGGAGGAGGAGAGTGGGAGGAGGGGGGGAGGAGGAGGAAAGAGGAGGAGAGGAGGAGGAGGAGGAGGAGGGGCAGGAGGGGGAGACGCGCAGGCCAGGACCTGAGGGACAGCGCCCCCACCTGGGCGCCTGGCACACGGCGAAGGGTTCGGGGGCTGCTAGAAAAGCGCCCCTGGCCCGAGGTGCCCCTCAGCTTCCCGCTCCCTTCTGGAGCCCCGGGGCTCTCTGGGCCTCGCGAGGGGTGCTCTGCTCTGGAGGCCGTGGGGGCCTCCTTGGAAATCCTGGGGGCGCCTTGGGCCAGGGGGCACCTCTGGCAACACCCGAGGGGGTGGCAGCTACCCCGCGGGTGTACACACCTAGTTACGGGTGGCTCAACGGACCGCCCTCCCCCCCCCCTCCCTCAGAGCGGCCGCCCCCCCGCGGGCGGAGCTCGCCGTCAGAGGCCGCCGGGCGGCGCTGGCGGGCCGCTGGGGGCTGGCGGTGCCGGGACTCGGGTCGGGGCGGGGTGGGGCCGAGCTCGCCGCGAGGGAACGAATGGAGAACGTGCGCGCGAGATCTCGGTCGCGCTCCGAGGGTCCAGCCGAAAGGGGGGAAGGAATCCAGCAGCAGCAGCAGCAGCAGCAGCAAGCTCGAGCAGGGGGGGATAGGAATGCGGGTGTGGATGCACGTGTGGCCCACCTGGACGGGCCAGGTCCGATAGAAGGGAGAAAGTGCAAGAGAGGCCCCCGCTTGATCGACGAGGCATCGAATTGCCACCACGCAAGGGGCAGGATGTGACCGACCGCCGGTAGAGCATGGGCGAGAGGAAGAGGATGCTGAGGTCCCCCGGCGCTTCACAGCCACCTGCTGCTGACCACAGCTCGCCTTCACATTTAATGCATAATATCCGCCGACAGCCTACTACTCTTGAAGGTGGCGCGATGGAGAGTACGGCGTTGTGGAATGCGTGGGAGGAGGAGATGGGGCCTCTAAACAGTGCCTGCGACAGCTGGTGCCGCGGGCGAGAGGAAGCCAAGGTGCATCGCCCATTACACATCTGAAACACTAGACTACAGACCACGGTATACCACCCGTTGCATTCGACCTCACTCCACCGTTCCCTCCTCCGTGTACAATGTGCCTCATGTCTTCTACTCACAGTTGCTGGCCAGCAGCGTTCACTAAAATCGAACCCAGGTTTACGCGACCTCAGGACAACTTTCAACAAAGATCAAGATTCTCCGATGCCTCAGCCCAGACATCAATATCCTGCAGCAAGACGCTCATGTTAAGAGCCGTCATACCCATTCCAGCCTCTTTCGTTGCCTCGCTTGAGACGCACAGTGGCACTCCCCGTAGCATAGAGTGTTCTACCAGAAGTGGTCGAAGCTAGAGGAGCAGGAAGTAGCGGCCAGCGGTCTTTTTCAAACATCTGGAGCCCGAAAGCACATTCCAATGCTTACGTGGGTGTCTGTGGAGGACAAGGAAGGACACGTCTTGGAATCAAATTTGGACCCAGTGTTCAAGGCTTGGTATGGTATTTCCGCAAACATTTAGATCGAACGCGTCCCCCTACAGGCGGACTTTGGAGGAAAAGTAAAGAATAATCAAAACATCATCAATAATGAACCAGAAGAATCGAAATATCGTCCCAAACTGATGTTTTGATTGTTGTTTGAATTTTCCTCCTGCAGAGGGACACGCCCACTTTGAGCTTAACTGCGCGGATCCACGAACAAAGGGCGCCCCCGAGGAGCCCCGCCCAGCAGGCCCCCCTGGCGGGGCGACCGGCAAGTCAGACCCCCAGGGGCCCGGCACGCTCCAGAGGCGACGCTCCGCGCAGGGGCGATCGCCAGCCACAGTTGCGTTGCCGCGGGTGGGAGCGGGAGGTTGCCAGGAAGCGGCCTCTGCCCACAGGCGCCCACACTTTGCCGTGCCACGTCGGAGCCCCTGGCGCCCTCTGGGCCTTTCGATTCGAGGAACGCGCTCGAGACAATCTGGACTTCCCTGGCAAAGCTGGGCTCACCGCTGGCAACGCCCAATCAAGAGCCTTCGCGGGCGCAGTTAAGAGCCAGTCCGGTCAGAAGCGAGCGCACCATATTAAACTATAGACTAAGAAAATTGTGAATCCATAAAAGGAGACTCCACCCATATTACACCAATGACTACACAATACAAGTGAACCACAAACTGACAGATATCAAGAGCATACCAAGGCAGATACCTAATTCAACCTCTCGAGGTTTGCAACAAAAGGGTGGATGAACGGGTGGTCGCCAACGCAACAGTTCACACGTCACACGGGTCGCATCCGCGCAGATCGTCCGGGTGGCCTCAACATACCAGAATGAATACCCACTGGACGAAGCGCCCTGATCCTGCGCGAGTACCAGCGGATCAATGTGCTCGTAACGCAAGCAAAACAGATTCATGTGGCAGAGGCATGCGCGCCATTACTTCGAACCTATGGTGACAGCTGTCAATGCTTCTGGATGATACCACGAGGAGGTTGCCACTCGCCATGGCCACCCATCATCCCTGGGGTGAGACCTGGCACAAATCCGACAACTCTGTTGACTCGTCCGAGCCCTCACTCCGTTATCAACGCCGAATGATCGGTCACACATGCCAGCGGGTACCAGCAATGCTTTGCACTGGTTCACCTCAGAGCGCGTGATGTAACAACATATGCGTAGTTCAACATTGTGAATGTCGAGCGCCATGTTGTGTATGCCCATGGGGGTAAGTCTGGAGAGGGCGACCCAAGCGGCGATGGAGGCGCCTTCACCTATGCGGCGATGGTTCCGGTTGGTTCGCCACAAAAGCCGTCAGGGAAAACAACCGAGACAAGTCTCTATGCGATGTTCTCTGGTACGTCGCGCCGCAACGGGAACATATGTTAAGCAAGACATGGCGTGGTCACAATTCGCTGGCCCAACGGACCAACGGCGAGCT